GCTTCACAGCTTTTTATGTTTTGAAACTTAATTACTTGGGGAGTTTTATGACTTTGCTATAAGAACCTATGAGAGCACCTAATGACAAGGTTGCAAACACCAGAAATTAGGTTTTGTCCTCCTTTTTCTCACTTTATTTTTTTTTTAATTCTACTTATTCTTTTTTTCTCTTCCTTTCTGAATGGCTGTAAAAAACCCAGCACATTAAAATATCCTAGTAATCAATATTTTTCACCTAGGGTCTATTGAGGTTGCAAGATGGAGTTGTCTGCTCCTCTAATTCTCTAAGGTGCACACTAAGTGGACACAGTAATTCAGTTACAAATAATTAGATAATTGTGATACAGTTCATGCAACTGATTTTATTTCTGTATCTCAAGACAAGGTCTTGAGATAGAGAAAGATGAAGGATGGGTGGCTTCACCTCATCTATGAGTGCTTTCACTTGATTGCTCTGAGAGTTGAGCTCATGCAGAGGGGTACTTGTTGCATCTCTAATCAGAATTGGTATAATTTTCTTTTTGTAAAACATAATTAATTTTCCTTATTCTCCTTCTATTGGAAGTGTTCCTGAACATAACTGTGTCATGGTGTGCCGTAATGTTACAAGTCAAATGCAACTTTCTGAGATAAGATAATGAAAAGGCATCCTCAATCCCTCCAGTGCACTAATTTCTTCTGTTCTATTAAAAAATAAAAAAAATAAAAAATACCTGCTTGTCTTTTCCCTAGACGTTCATGATATTATGTCCTTCAGGCTTTTTTTTTTTTTTTTGTAGGAAATGGCAGAAGCCTTGTGCATTGATTTGCTGGGTAAGGAAAACAGTCCAAATGCAGAATTAGTATCAACAAAAAGAGAGTTTGACAAGACTAAGTTACACCTCAAAACTTACAGACTAAATAAATGCTGAAGTCATTTTAATAAGCACTTTCTTTCTCTTAGACAATGCCTTCAATATTCTTTTTAGCCCAGCCATTAACTCTTCAGTGTCACCAGTGTTCGGAGAGTTTCTATCCAACCTGGGATCAGGCTAAATCAGTGACACCAGTGACTCTGATTTTACTGGGGTAAACAGCGATGGCCTTGCAAACTCACACACTGGCTCTGGATACAGCTGCCCCAAAAGTGCCTATGGCAAAAGTCAAGAAACTTGCCTGGGCTCCAAGGTCTGACCGAAGCCCCTGGGGATAGGGTTACAGCCACTGCAATACTACTCTAATCAGTAAAATATAAGCTTCTTTTCATCAACAGCTAATCATAAGACTTCATTTGTCTCTAACTTCTTTCAGGTATCCTGACAGATGAGAGCATAATCATATAAATAAGAAATGACAGTTTACCAAAGAAGGTTAACATAAGGTCACAACCCTTTTTCATTTGACTTCTGAGCTTATTCATGTGTGAAAACATGCTTTTGTAGTTATAGCCTCAGCATCCCTTACAGATTTTGACTTGTGCCAATAATTGAGTTTTAAAATGTTATTTATGTTCAGAAAATACCATTTCTGCTTTTTGTGATGTTTGCGTAGAATTGTTTTATGTTTGTATAAGATATTAAATGAGAATATTCATACATCTCACAGTGCACCTCACTGACATAAGTCATCAGTGGTACCTCTGGTCATCAAATAAGGAAGTATCACACACACAATTTCCTCTCCCTTCCTCAGACCAAGTTAGACTTTTCTGAGCAAATCCACCCACAGACACTCTCCAGACTGCCCACGAAACACTGTACGCTGGTACAGACACACAGGGCACAGAATCAGGCTGATAGTCATACATGCGTAAATGTCATATATTAATTTGTTGTATTATTTGTGCAGTGACTTAAATTCACATCATTTCTCATCATTAATTTCCATCAGACACGTGAAAAGGGAGAGGTAAGCATGAGCTTTCTGTCAAAATCTGTAATGCCTATGTAACTATCTGCCAGAAAACATTTCTCTGTCAGATAAGAAAATGAAATTCTGCCTATGAACACTGAAGAGTAAAATCTGCAGTACAACATGTAGATAATTAGTTTTGAAAGGCTAATCAGTTCACTGCTCTGGCTGGCATTGCTATATAGATGCACATGCCTTCCCCTTACTGCAACTTACCTGTTGATGTAAGTATTCCCCCACTGAAATCAGGTAAGGCTTTATATATCACGTCATCTGAATGATACATCCTGACAGAAAAGCTCCCAATGAGCTAGAAAAGATCCTTACAAGCCTTGGGAGGAGTGTGGACCCCGCAAGTGTGGGGTGTCCCAGGCTGTGCTGTGCTATCCCCTTCTCCATGTGGCTCTAATTAGCTGCAGAACCACCTGAGAAAGGGAAGACTTAGTCAATGTTGATAGCAATAACTTGTATTAAGAATATTTTCCCTATTTTGTTGTCTTGTGCACATTCATGGAGCCTTGTGCCTTGCACACATTTTTGACAACCCAGAAAACAGTGATGCTGGGCACCTTCAGCTCGCTCCAGCTGTGAAATTAGGCCTTTGGGTCTCCTAACATTGCTCACAAAACCCTCAGCTATTATTGATCAAATCAGAAGTACACTTCATTATGTTGTTGGCAGTAGTGAATTTTTGTCCACTTTCCCTTCTTTAGCATTAAATAGTCACAAATAGCTAAAACCTTTTCTTTTTTTCTTTAATATATATATATTTCCTGATGTCTTCCCTTTTTGACAGAAGGATTCTCTATTTATTTTTTTTTTCTGAAAACCAGGATCAATCTTCGCACTAATAATGACTTTTTGAATAAAATCTGTACTACTTCCATGGCGCTTTTTTAATGATACACCTTATTTGTACCTTGGTTTATAAAAAACCTGTACATCCATTGATCATTTCAGTCACCAGTGAAATAAAACCAACCATGAGATGGAGCAGAACAATAGAACAAATGTATTTAAGGTTTGAGTTCAGACTAAAGGGTAACATAAAGCACAATGATGCTATAAAGAAAGAAAGAATATAACTACCCAGAACAACTGTAAGCCTTATTCCTCTAAAGATGCTGAATAACCTGAATGAGAAACTGTTTTACTCTCATCTGCAAAATGACCCCTCTGAGCCATGCAGAAGCATCAATAAAACACCAATCCAGTATTACATCCTGAAAGACCAGCACTTTCCATCAGCATACAGAGTTTTGTTTGGAAGATCACTTTTCCCATATGTAGTAATCAAGCACTAAGTTACATATATTGTAACATTTGATGCTAGAGGCTGGCTCAAGTTGGCCTTCTTGCAAGTCAGTATAGTCATACACTTATTGTCATTACCATCTTCACAAAAATTCAGGTGTAATTACTGTCACTGCTATGTTCACTTTGTTCCATGACTTGAGCGCTTCCAATTTATTGTAAGTTTCCATTTTTGTCTGAAGATTTTAAAAAGTGGTTTAAAACAAACTTATGATATATTCTCCTGTAATTCCTGGTTAGAATTAAACATCTTAAACTCTGAGTTTTTAAAGAATGTCAGAATACTAGAATTTAAAGTATATCTTCAGAATAAAAGAATTGTGCAGAATGAACACTAGGTTATCTTACACAAAATTATGGAAACAGGACTCCTGCATGCTGAGCAATTTAGGTTGATAGTGAGTAGGATCCCTTCTTTTAAAAACTGAGGTTTTGGACAACTTTTACACAGACCTGATAGCAGTAAGAAGCCACCAACGTACGAACCTATATGCCTGTTCATGGCCATATTACCAGCCAGTCTGAAAAAAGGGTAAGAGAAGGCTGAGGTGAAGTAGCAGGAATCTGTGAATCATAGTATTTCTGGCTTGGGTTCTCAAAAGGTCAAAATGAAAGCATGGAGGACCAGAATGAAAAGCTTCTATCAAAACAAAATAACCATCCACAGCTTATTTACACTGTCAAGTTGGATATCAAATGACAGGTTGCTGTGGAAAATAATTCTATCATGTTCTAAAAAAAAAAACAGTGCAGCCAAATAAATTACAAAGTTAGGATATAGCATACGATCACAGCCAAGAAAGACATTGCTTTATACAAACCTTAAGAAATTTGTGAGATACTATGCAAGTGAAAAAAGCCAGAGAAGATGGTTTCTTGTGAAAAGAATACAGCTCATGAAAACCTATCTAGTGCCTTTCATCTTAAGATAATCAAAACCATCAATGATATACTTACAGCAATGAAATGCAACTGAGGGTGCAATCCAGGCACCAGCCAGTGCATACAAGATCATACAGCAGTGACCATTCATTACCTATGTTAGAGCAAAGTTCAAGAAGAAGGAACTGCTCTGGCCTGCAATACAGTACACCTTGGCTACTTTAAACCTTAAAGCCTCTACCTTTTGCAAGCATCTGATTATGCAAATTTGTAGTGATTGTAGGTCAACGGATCAGATGGGCTTACTTACACCGAGTCTATGCTTACCAGTTTATATTTAAGAAGTCTAACCAAAATTCATCATGTGTTCCAACATAAGCTTATGTCATGTTTTGCTTCTCCACAAAATCAAGCTTTTAGAAAGAAAATTTTACCCTATAATGCACTAACTAGACTTACATTTCCTTTAGGAAGAAGACAAATGGGTTTACATAGCATGTGGTTTTAAATCCTTTTTTATTCAGTTAATCTCTAGCTGTGGAACTGTGATTGAAATGCAAAAAAAGTATGCATATTTTTGGATAAGAACCATTTTGTTTTAGAGACAGACGAAATGTTATCAAACATATCCGCGTTCAAGTTTTTTAATTGATGATGGAAATTCCATAATAAGAACATGGCACAGCCAATCCAGGTTAAGTAATAACATTTCTTCAAAAAATAAAACAAAATCCCAACCCTTTGAAGTGTTCTTATATCTTCATAATCCAGACAGGAGAAGATCTGCACTCTTGACAAGTCTGAGTATATGCTTTTCAGCTGGCTCCAGATAGAAACTAACACTTCCATTTCCTTCCAACGTCTCTTCTGATTTCTTAATAGCAGTGGAACACAGTACAAACACAAAACATTACCTCTGCATGATTTTCCATCTTCCTCCAGTTTCTGGCCAGCTGGACATTTGCAGTGGTAGCTGCCGACAGTATTACAGCACTGGCCATGACAGCCACCATTCCCCATGCTGCACTCATTTACATCTGTCAGAAGAAAGTGAACAGCAGTCACTAAAGAGTCAGCACTGACCACGTTACCTGGTTATTTGAGGACAACCGTGTACAATGCTGATGTAACAAAATGAGAGCATTACTGACAAGTATAGCTAAGGGCCCTGAAAGCAACCACAGGAGCAGTGACTGCCACCTATGTCACTGTGCCCCCAACTCACCCAAGAAGTACAATGGGGGGATTTTACTCCCCCACTTTGTGCAAGATAAGCCACAGAATACACTGGCTCTGGCTGCAGGCTCTACCCAACTCATCAACTCCCTATCTCTGCAACAAGATCAAGAACAATCTTTATACTCTCATTTCCACCAGGCTCCTTGCGTATTAGGTTGCTTCTAGCAGTATGGCAGATGAGAAACCTCTGAAAGGCGGAAGTATTTTGAATCAATTAAGGTCCTCTTTCCTTCAGATATGTGTGCACTAGTATCTACACACCTTACTTTTTCATCTGATCAAATTAGTGCTCGCAGGCATGCAAAAATAGAACTTTCCAAATTATAAATGCATAATGTTAAAGAACCACATAAATAAATAAGTAAACAGGCAATGGTTGAAGAAAAATCAATAGTAAAGATATTTGCTTTTTAGCCCATGCACATAAGAGCCCTACATAAGAATTCCTGAGGAAATGTGTTAGAAATGACCAGGCCAGTACTACTGCTCTGTTGAACAGGATCAGGGACAACAGATGGTATGGAAATATTTCCAAACTAGAAAACTTGTCAAACAGGGCAGTAAATGTAACAAAACCAGCAGGTATTTGCTGCACTGGTCTCACATATTCTGGGATGTATACTTGTACTTTGCTTTCTTGCTTGCTTTGCTCTCTCTGAAGTGCTAATACCACACAGAGATGTAATCCATCAGTGCAGGGACAGCAAAGAAACAGCGTAAGAATAATGGGCTTGGGGTGTGTTTCTTCAGTGTTTTGACATATGTCTTGAACTGGCTTGGTGGCAGAGCAGACCTGCTTAGCATGTTGGTAAGGGGAACGCCAGGGCTAAGGGGACACGCCACATTAGCAAAGCCTGGCACAAGGACACAGCTGACAAATCTCAGATCTGCAAGGCCTTTGGCACTGGTAGAAATCACACATTACGTTCAGACTAGAGAGCAAGAAAAGCAGAGAGGAGGAGAAAAATGAAGCAACAGAAGATGAGTATCATCATGACTAAAAATTGCAGGCAGTTACTTCATACTAGTGGCATTTCCCATCTCTAATGAGGAAATGCAGCTTTTTAAAAACACTTCTGATTACACTCTGGTCAAAAGAAATACAGAGTGCTTTAAAGACAAATGAGAAAAAGAAAACCACAAAAAAGCAAACAAACAAAAAACAACCAACCAAAAACCTTTCACATTCATGCAAGAGAAGTGAGGACCTTTCAACTGCAATCCTTAGCTGATAAGACTAAGATTTACCAAGGTTTGTTAGTTCTTCAAAGATCTTGAGCTTAACTGTACTAGCTCATTTCTGATCCTGGCTAAAAAGCAAGGGTTAAGACATTTTTGAGGAGGTTTCAGACTATTAAAAAGCTAAAAGAGAAATATACCCTGAAACACAAACATTTACTAAAGTGCAGCTGAAGAGGCTCAAACTCACTAAAACCATCTCATTTCTTTCCAGTTCTAAATTCAGTGTAATGACTGACAACAAAATTTTCTTTGTCCTCAGTGACAGTGAAAAACATTGGCAAGCTGTATTAAAAAAATAAAATATTCGGTTATCTCTGAGCTAGACAATTAACCAAATTTTAACTCTTGTGAGGTCAGCAAAGCTCTTCTCAATTTCCTGGGAACACAATTTAGACAGAAACTTTTCAGAAGAAAAACACTTCCCCTCCTCTCTCCAAGATGTAAAAACAAATCATATCAAAATAAGACATTCATCTGTTCACTTCTCTTCAGCAAGAGATGGAGAGAACATATGACAAGCAACAGATTTTAGACATATTCCTTAAAGCACTGGAAGAAAGCATGCTAGCACTGAGCATCGTGCAGAAGATCGACAAAAGAGGCATGTTCCAAGTGATTTACTCCCCCTAACTAGGAGACATCTTGATGTGCCTTGTGGTAATAAACAGTAATGAGCCACATAATAACCCTGCTCCACACTTTCAACTTCTATTTATACTAACAGTATTGAGAGCTAATAAAATCTCTTGCTCTTTTTATTTTTTAAACAAAATAATGAGAACTATTTTACTGTGCTCAGCACCTACAACGCTACGTGACTTCCTAGAATAAAATACCAACTAAGTGATGTGGTTTACAATATACAGCCCAATTTATTAAAACCAATGTCTGTATTTTGAACCAAAATATTGGAAGAAAACCTTTCTAGCTGAGGAGCTAATCATTATCCTCTTGATATCGCTAGGATGTAATACATTCAGAAGTGTATAGTGCTATTGCATACTAATGCACAGAATGTTTTTCCTTTTGATTGCAGTGTGTTTCTATTAGCAATCAGAAGTCCTTTTCTTTCTTGTTCAGCATAAAACGCTGTCGTTCTCCTATGAGTTTTGCCCCTCACAAAAGTATTACTGCTATATGACTGATAACCTCACCTTCTTCTTTCAACTCTTGTCTTTCTAATGCTTTGTCCTGGATTTCCTTGTCTCTGCCTTAATACCTGTTTTCATCCTTTGATGAAATGTTTTCATCCATTTCTTTGCTGCTTCTTACACCAGAAATCCAATGTTTTTTCTATCATATGCAGAAAACCTGACTTTTCATCCATGTCTCTAAAACAAATACCTTATTTACAGCTTATCGTCATAACACAGAAATTACACTTTATATTAACACACCAAAATAAGCTTTTTGATACAGCTTTATTCCTATTACAAAGCACTCACACTTGAAGAAATACACTCGGTAGAAAATACACTAATTTTAACCTTAATGTTATGAAAATTTGCTCTCTATGCATCTGTGTCCCTCACTGTACCATCTCCTGTACAAGACCTTCACCATTAGCTGTACCTTGACAAGTTGTTTTATGCAACTCAGTAATAAAGGTCAGATGTTGTTTCTGTCCAAAAAGCATTAAAATAAATGACCTGAATGTGAAGTAATAATGTGTTTTACATTTGTAAAAAGACAGTTTGCATAGCTCTTACAAGCCACAATCGGCTATTCTATATTCCTAAAAGAGTCAGAATTAAAAGGAAAAAAAAAATCCAACAAACCCTACAAGAAAACCAGTTCTGACAAATGATAAATTTCTGCCTGCTTTCCATATTCAATGTCACTCAAGGTTGCAAATATATTTGCCTTTTGAATAGCAAGAAAAATGACAGACTTTCTGACATGTAACAAGTCTGCCATGTTAGGTCTGACAAAGTTCAGTATTACCAAGACTATCAATCCATCTGTAATGACATGCTGCAGGTGTTTCAGAAAGAAAAAAGGAAACAAGTGATGTTTGCTACTGCAGTGTTTCAAAACTATTTATAGAACAAATGTTATAACACAAAAACATCCGTAGGACATGCTCTGTGTGAGCTTTCACTCCCACCATGCAAAGTCTTAAGGAAATAAAAACTGAAAAAAACATCATCAAGATTAACTTTATATATGATCTGTCTACCATACATGTGGAAAAATATCCATAGCACTTTTTAAAGCCACTAGTACGCCAAAATGTGGATTGTAGACATGCGCCCATGTCCCACACTCCCTGCACATGCAATATTATAGAATATGAAAAGGTATTCCTGTTTAAAGATCTTGTCAAACATTTGATTTGTAGGGGATCATGCCTTTCTCATGAAACAGACCACCTTTGTCCAATTAAATACACCTAAGAGCTGTATGATAAATGGAGAAGGACTGATTCCAATCCCTTTCCTTCTCTTCTTGTTTAATGCTACTCACTCCCTGTCTGAAAATACTACACAGCAGAGCAAATAGAGATCCTCAGCTCCAGGGAAAATAAGCCTTCACCAAGTTTTATGCAAGTCTAAGTTATTTCAGATTTCCTACAAATAAATGAGAACTATATATAAAAGCAGACACTGGACAAAGTTTTCCATTGGTAATTCCAATTCTAAATCTAACAGAAGCAAAGTGTACTACTAAGAGCTCTCAAATGTAGCAAGTAGATGAAGAAAATAAAAAAATCAGTCTGAAAAGCAGGAATACTTTCATACCTTGCAATCACAGAATGGTTTGGGTTGGAAGGGACCCTAAAACTCATCTAGTTCCAACCCCCCAGCCATGGGTAGGGACACCTTCCACTACGCCAGGTAGCTCAAAGCCCCATCCAACCTGGCCTTGAATTAGGGTAGAAGTCTCCTCTCCACAACTCTGTGCAGACCTACTGGTGAAGGCTGCAGCTCTGCTGGTCCTCCTCATGAAGCTGAATTCATTATCTTTAAAAACCTCCCAAGGCTTAAGCCTGCCATGTCTGCACGACTGGATGGACTTGCTGAAGGAGAATGCATCTGCAATGAGTATTTCAACAACTTCATTTTGGCAACAGTTTGGGTGTTTAGATCTATGGAACACATCAGCTAACTGCTTACAGGTTAAAGCATTTTAAAATAGATTTTACCTATACAAGTTTATGTGATATACATTAATATAAACACTCATTTTTAAGATAACAAAGAGAATCTCATAACTGCACCAAGTAATAAAACCCATTTTCCAAGGTTTCTGTATTTATCAGCTGTTTATGAGCAACAACTTCATTTACTGCAGCCACATGCAAACTTGCCATTTCAGTGACCAGCCCTTGGGGCTATCATGTTCTCTGACCCATGAGCTGCTGACTTCAGTGCATGTCAGAGCTCACTGGGTTTTTAATGAATCACTGAAGTGTAATAAAATCTGTAAAATCATTCACATCATTATTGCAGTACAACAAGAATAAAGCCCACCATCCTGGAGAGGGGAGGTTATTTTGATTAGTTTTAAAGTGTTAAGCTAACACATCACGCTTCAATTAGGGGTCAAACTAATG